AAATATTAGTGAAATCATCTTGAACCACACTCCATACCAGTAGGTGGTGGTAATGCACACCTTCAGTTTCTTGCCAACAACCATTAAACACCACAAGAAGAAGAAAATTGGATTCATCTTTCAGGTAGGCATGAGCAGATATAAAAATGAACTGACATATTTATCACAGAATTTGAAAGAACAATAAACAAATTTACTTTTGGAGTCAACTCTCAAAACAGCTAACTGACCTTAGAAATACAAAACGGGCAGTTCAGGCAGTTTTACAAATGTTATTCTAAAATTTTATGTGGTAGTAGCTAAGACTTATTGGGTTAGATTTTTATTTTCCATTATTGCAGTTGTTAGCAAAATATCTCATGAATAACTGGACATATTCATTGGATGCACCTCTGTAACGGATTAACTTTCAGACTCAGCTTTTGCTTTTGATTTCCTGTAATTTTAACCATTCAGTAAATAGTGAAGATTTTTATCAATATGTGAAATGTTCACTCAGAGTTTCAGTGGCCTCACATTATTTATGCATGTTTTAATTTGATTGTTTGGTATCACCAATAAAAAGAGTGAAAAATTAGTTAATAGGGGTTATTTTAAGAAGACAGAACATGCACATTTCTTTTCAAGAAGCTCTCTAACTTTTATTGTTTGTCCTTAATCTGAAAAATATAAATCTGTTTTGAGAGACAGCTCATGATGTTTGCAGATGTGATGTTTGCATTTTTCATCTCTTGACTGACCTGTTTTATTTTGGTACCTTAACAAAAGGTTAAGTGGAGGCAYAGAAGAAGGTGACAGTGTAGGTTTGGCCCACACGAGCGATGAAATCAATGTATTTTTTGATGTAAAATCTTAGTATATAAAATTAAATCATCAACTTGTAATCTTACTTCTGTGACTGTTTAACCAGCAGGGACTGATGTGTTGAGAGAACTCTTTGTTCAGCCTTGAGTGTGCATCTGTCTGTATTTTAAGTGTGTGTGGCGCTCTAAGTGTCCAGTCATGTGTTTCGTTTGGCTGATGCAGATTTATAAATAGGTCAACATTAAGGCAGAAATCATGAGAGCAGCAGAATGACTTCCATCTCAACCATCCAGATAGAAGCAGCAGWAGATTTGGCCTTCAGTGTCAGCACCTGACAGATGGTTTTACAGCCAGCACCTTGTGATTTTGATTGGGTCGACATCTCTGTTTCAGATGATTATGTAACTCTGTGTTAATACGCCTGGCAGCCTTCAACTCTATTTCATTGAGACAGAGAGTCAAGTCTTTGTCATGTAGTAGCTCCTAAAAACAGATTGCTTAGTTCTTCCCTACAGGGGAAGAAGAAATTGACCATTTTAGGAGAACTGATCTTCAGTGTTCACGGCACTCATTCTTACAAAATAGTTTATTTCTTTTTATATAGAAAGCATTATTCTGACAAGATATTCAACAAAACTTATTAAAGTACCCCCCGCCCCCACCGCTGAAGGAAGCAAGACATTATATTTTAAACTTTTCTTCTTTTTTCTGTTCTTAAAATTGTTTCAATGGCCATGTCTCTTTTTTGTTTGTTTTTTAAATGAGGGCCAGATGCAACACTCAGGTCACCACATATCAAATTATTGCTTTTTTTCACACAGCTTTCAGATTTTGTTGGTGTTTAGGGATTGTTTGAGTTGAATGAAGCTATTTGAGTCATCAGTATCTTACTATCTGTGAGCAGCAGAACAATTTCAAGGTTGATGAATAAAAACAGCATTCTCATAAGAGAGCTGAGCTCAATAAATCCGTAAACAAATTTTAACAGTCTGCAGTTCAAATCTGCAATATTATAGAACCTGGATGCTATAAAGTGAAGTGCATCATTTTTGTATCAACATATTTAATCTGAAGACTGCCTGATGTATATGACTGTAAAAATACTGTAGGCACTTTAAGTAAATGTTTATCAATTAATGTCCAATGTTAYAAGTAATCGTGGATCACTTTAAAGCCTGTCACTTTTTTCCACATTAATTAAAACTTTTTTTAAATTCACACTACACACCATGGCTAGAGGTAACTAAATCAATGCATTTTATGACAAATAATTTGTTGCAATGCACAAAAACACACAATTTAGCATTAGTTTTTTGGCTAAGTGACTTATTATTATAGTAAAATTAAAAAAAGAAAGTCAAGTTTATTTTGAACCAAATTAAACGAGCTGCAAAGACAAGAAGAAACTGAACAGGTMGCTCCTCATTTACCAGTGAGAAAGCAGTGAAGTGGACTTCTCAGCCTGTTAATTGTCCTGGTTAAGACGTAATGAACAAATTGCTTGTTTCACTCCGGAGCTAGCAACATAAGCCACTTGTTAACGGTGCCAGATTATCAGAAAGTGTCAAGATGACACAAAAAAAAAAATTTAAACTACACCCACAGCTGTGTCAAGCTGACATGACTCAGACAGTGGGTACTGATGAAGTCACTCAGCAAAAGTAAAGAAGCATCAGGCTTGTCTCCACATTGTGTAAAAACATAAGTTCTTTGTTTAAATCGTGTTTCCAGTGATTTAAACTTGAAAGTTTCATTTTGCCATTAATATTTAATGCTAAAAGTTAAAGATGCTCCAGTTTTTAGGATTCAGAGTGTGACTTACTGGTTGATGGAGTTATTTATACATATTTTACACCTTAAACCGCTGTCCTAATGCTGTTTTCTGGTTTGCACCATGTGCTCGCTTTGACCTTGAACTCCATTCTCACCATGCAAACACAGGTTTTTACTCCACGACCTGTTAACGAGACCCCCCCCCCTCCGCTTTACTGCAACTTTGATCCCTGTGTTGGGGCTCTGTGAACTTTGTGTGTGTGTGTGTGTGTGTGTGTGTGTGTGTGTGTGTGTGTGTG